GTTTTGCGTGCAGCTAGCAGTGTATTTCCATTGGACAGTGCTGCTCTACAAAAGTCTTGTCTCAAACCCTCCCATTGCAAACCGAATCAGCAGATCCCTTCCTGGGAAACATTTAATTACCTCTGTGGTTACAGCGATGCAGTTCCTACAACTTTCACAGCTGTTCACTTTTTGGCTGTCCAAATTTAGCCACGGTATAAAAGGGATTGTTCTTGGCTCTTGTAAGTGACAACTCACCATAGAATCAAAATGAAAATCATATCAGCAATGAAAATTCCATACCTGCCATCCCAAAAAGGGGGATTTTCTTCTTGGTGACCAATTACCATTAGTGTATTCATTCTTTTGGCAAATAGTTACACAGTGACCATTATGTACCAGGCTCTATCCTACATGTTGGGATATTGTGCTAAACAAGACATGGCCCCTTCCCTGAAGGAGTCAACGTATCGGAATGAGTAATATTACAGATGTACACACACAGGACCACAGGGACAAGAGGAAGGACATCCATCGAGGGGATGGGTGGTAATACAGGAGGTAATACAGGAACTAGACTTCGACCCAAGGTCACATCCAAGTTGAAGAAAGACATGTGTGTCACCTAAACACAGATGATAGCCCAGGCCCCAAGAGGGGATGAGCTCACCAGGGATAGAGTGTAGGGTAAGAAGAGAAGGGGCTATCACTGAATGTCCCACTTACTGAGTCTATAGCTGAGCTTAAGACCCTTATGAAATAATTACTTCTTGACCTAATTATCTGAAACCAAGAACATGGAGACAGGCATACTGGAGAGGTGAACAGCACAGTGTTTGGTGTCAGACATGAGCCAGGATCCTGTTCCAGCTTTCCAATTAGGCAGGCTCCTTCACCTCCCTAAGTCTCAGTTTCCTCACCTGTATAATGGGATTGGCAAGTGCGCATCTCACAAGGTTGTGGTGGAGATTAAATATGATGGATAATCTGAATACAGCAGCTGACATACTGTGTGATACAGAGCAAGTATTTTGTAAGTGATCATTGTTGTTACTCGTTTTTTTCATAAAGCATCAGAAAAATGTTGAATCAAATAAGGGTTTGGTATCGTCTGGCTGTGTCCCCATCCCAATCTCACCTTGAATTGTAATAATCCCCATGTGTCAAGGGCAGGACCAGGTGGAGGTAATTGGATCATGGGGGCAGTTTCTCCCACACTGTTCTCATGATAGTGACTCTCATGAGATCTGACGGTTTTGTGAGTGTCTGACATTTCCCCAGCTTGCACTCATTCCCTCTCCTGCTGCCCTGGGAAGAAATGCCTTCGGCTATGATTGTTAAATTTCCTGAGGCCTCCCCAGCCGTGAAGAACTGAGAGTCAATTAAACCTCTTTTATTTATAAATTACCCAGGCTCAGATATTTCTTCACAGCAGTGTGAGAACAGACCAATACAGGGTTTCCCAACTATTGATATTTTGAGCTGGGCTATTCTTTGTTACGGGGAAGTCCGTCCTATGCATCATAGGATGTTTAGCAGCATCCCTGGCCTCCACCCACTTAATGCCAGTAGCACAGCTTCTCCTGTTAATAACAACCCAAAATGTCTCCAGACCTTGCCACCTGCCCCCTGGAGTGGGGAAGAAGGAGGTACCAAACTAGTTACAAACAGATAGTCTACATCAATGATTAGGTGGAATGGAAAGAGGTCTGGGAACTTTAAAAGATAGAAACTTTTTCAACTTGTAAAGAAATGTGAGTCCTGACAAATACACTCCCCTTCCTCCAGGATAACTCTGCAGCCTCACAGGGACTATTTCAAATGTGTGCCTTGCCTCAGGCTGAAGAATGCTAGGCCTAGCCCAAATCAGGGTGATAGAGTCTTTGAACTAAATTTCAGCCCCTGGTCTGGTGAAGAAGGGTGGAAACGGGTCTGTGCCCCAGCCGTGAATGTCAGCCACAGAGGAAGCTCCAGTTAAGCAGTGGGGAAGGACTGAGCCTTGTACAAGAAGAACACTTAAAGTCCCCCTCAGCACCGAACAGGCCCAATGTGGAGACCTAAGGCCAAGCAGTGCTGTCCTGTGTAATGAGCCATGCCAACCCGCCCAGCACTGCCCACGTACCAGCTGCCATGCTACCACCGTTATTTTTTGGAAACGTCTGCTTTTCATCCTCCTCGGAGTTCCACTTCAGAAATGGCATTCACCAGTGCTCTGTGGTATTTCTCAAGTGTCACTTGTTAAAGCTAATGGGAACCTGAGGAGTAATTATGTGCATAATTGGGAGGAAATGCCCTGGTCATTGCATTCAGCATGAAACCATAGGGCTGATTTCTCACCAAATACAAACTCTGCTTTGCAAACTGCTACACAGTTTTGGCCATGGGAGAGGATGTGCCTGTTAGCGTGGCAGACAGAGAGAAGATATCCACAGGAGTCTCATGTTCATAGAAGTCAGATCCTTTCAGCAAATCTTACAATGTAGGGCACACATGTTAAATGGATAAAAACTTCCCAGGTTTCAAATAGAATGAAATACAACAGTATCATGTTGACATGGAGATTCACATCCTTAAATGAGGACCCACATAGGTCACTTACTATAACAACAATATGTTCATACTGCTTTCACATCCATTTTCTTTTCTTTTTAATTTAATTTCATTTAATTTTAAATTCCGGGATACATGTGCAGGATATGCCGTTTTGTTACCTAGGTAAATGTTTACATCCATTTCCAGTGCATTTTCACATCTAACTTCTCATTTAATCTTTACCACCATCACCTGCATAAGAGAGGTAATATTACTACCTTCACTTGGCAAGTGAGGGGACTAAATCTCTTGTTTGTGACTTTCACTTGGTCCCTCATTCAATCAATTATTAAGCCCACACACGTGCCAGGCACTTGCCCAAGTCATGAGATGCAGCCAAGTACTATGCCAGATGCTGTTTTCACATAGAGTCTTGAGATATTTCTCAAGGAGGGCCGTTAGTGGCATTTGGGCAGACTGACTCTTTGATGGGCAGAAAGGTCCCACCCTTTGCAGAATGTCTATCACTAAATTGCAATCATTATCACCAATCTGTGGGGTGGATGGGAAGAGTAATCCCCAAATGAGAGCCCTCCTAGATGTTATGAGCAGCGGATATGAAGTCACACAGCCGGGTTTAGTTCTTATTCCATCCATTCCTCTCCTGGTGAATTTAGACAAGTGATAATGCTCTACGCCTCAGTTTCTGCCTTTGTAAAATGGTAGTGATGATAGTGTATACATTGTAAGAGTCCCATGGGAAGTAATCTAGATTCAATGCCTGACCCAAGCTGGCTTTCAGTAAATAATACCCAATAAATATCTTTGTTATTTCAGCGGCTCAACTCCCGTCTACCTTCATCTCCTTCAATCTTTAAAGCCACGTTTTTCTTTTTATTTATTTATTTTTTTCTTTTTTGAGAAAGAGTCTTGCTCTGTCAGCCAGGCGCCAGGCTGGAGCACAGTGGCACAAACTCGGCTCACTGCAATCTCTGCCTCCTGGGTTCAAGCAATTATCCTGCCTCAGCCTCCCGAGTAGCTGGGACTACAGGTGCACACCACCACGCCCAGCTAATTTTTGTATTTTTAGTAGAGACGGGGTTTCACCATGTTGGCCAGGATGGTCTCGATCTCTTGACCTCGTGATCCGCCCACCTCGGCCTCCCAAAGTGCTGGGATTACAGGCGTGAGCCACCGCGCCCAGCTTAAAGCCACCTTTTCAGAGAGAACTTCCCTGACAGTCCTATTTAAAATTTCAATCCCCCCACCACTGCCACTTCACATCCCTGTTCTTGCTTTTTCCCGCCTAGCATCTGTCACCTTCAAACATACTCTTTAATTTAATATGCGTTTGTTATTGTGTCTCCCCACTACAATGTATGTTCCATGAGGACATGGATTTTCACCTGTTGGATTCTACATCTAGAACAGAGCCTAACTCTTAGTAAGCATTTAACAAAAACATCTTCGATGAGGTTAAATGGATATAGGGAACAGCCCAACTTAAAAGTTGGTGTCTAGACTCCAAATTCTGTGTTCTTTTCACTATAATGAGTGACCACATGCAATGACATTAATGGTAATATGTGACAACCGTTAAGAAATGTTAAGTGTCCTCTTACAACACTACCTTAGAGGGGCCTCTGTGGTTTCCCTCTTCTGAGATTCTTTGAAGTTAACAGTTTCTAACAGAAACCTAGCCACCAGCTTATCTCACTTGAGTTCCCTTTGTGAGTTTTTTCCCCCAAAGCATTTAAGATAACCACTCAAGCCAGAGACTGAAAAGGACTTAAACACTTCCATTAACAGGTTTCTTTGTCTCTAACCGTATCTACCTGAGACAGAACTGAAGTCCCAGTGATGGTGGAAATATCAGCCCTCCCCATACTGCTTATCTAAAGCCAAACTAAGCTTCCATCACTGTTAGAACTGATACTAGGTTAACATTGTACTTTCACCCAGAGTTGACAACAGCAGGTCTGACAATAACCAATGACATTCAAGGCAGGTCTAGACCTGGGGCTCCAAAATCCTAGTGAACATTGTGCCAGGTCTGGGAAGGAAACATCAGACTTTCCATTTTCAGTTCATCTAAACACCAGACCTCCCATTTTCAGTTAACCTAAAAAAAGAAATTTAACTATATCAAGAATACAAATGGCCACAAACACCCCCATCTAACCTGTCATATCAAATTACATGCCATTTATGAAACTCAGGCAGTTATCCTCAACGACAAAGTGAATTAAGTGACCACCTCAATAATCCCACCATTCTCAGCATATTTCAATGAATAACCATTTACAGCTGAATCATAAGTAAATTTACAGATTATATTATCTACTTTTAACTATCCTATTCCTCACAAAATAGAACTGAGGCTTAAAGAGATCCCAGCCAAGAAACCACATCTTGAAGATAATTGTCACAATGCAGGCATACAAGAAAATGCCATTTTCCTCTCTTGAGTACTAGCTCTCCATCGCATCTTTGTGGACCACATTACAAAGTCAAAAGAAGGAAAGAACCCTAAGTGATAAAGAGCCAACCAACAGAATTACCCAACAGATAATGACATATGGATTTACAGTCACTAGTCAGAAAGGATCCTATCCCAGATATGTAGATAGTGGTAGTAATATGCAGAAATTATTTATAAACAAAATATTTTGGGGAATGGCTGCTCAAATATGTTTTACTAACAGGGTGTGGTGAGTATTGTGGTTATTTGCTCATGATTCATTCTACCCTCCTTCTAGAAAACTTTCTAGCCTTCAGAGGCTGGTAACTGAAAAGCTGTATTTCCCAGGCTTTTTGAAGCTAAGGTTCTAGATGTGAATTTGGCTCCCCCAAACAGAAGCACTCACTTGAGATTTAGAAAGCAGGTATGAGGCAGAGGCCATCTTCCTGCCTTTGGGGCTGTTTGAGTGCTGGCAAGCATGGAGATGGGGACATGAGGGTTTTTTGCAACAGCATTATAGGGTCCACTCTCCAGCTTTGCCGTCAGTTTGTTCTTGAACTTAATAGTTCCAGACATAGACTCGGAAGGTGTAGCACCCCTGGTAAGTCAGTTTTTTTTGTTTGTTTGTTTTTTTTTTGTTTTTGAGCAGCCATGCCAACATACGTTTATGAATTATTATATAAACTTATTCCTGGATCCCTATTCCTCCAGCTCTTCCCCCCGCCCCCATGACTTTATAAGCACCAAATTCCCTCTAGTAAATATCTTTCTGCTTAAAATACCTAGACTGGGGCCAGGCGCAGTGGCTCACACCTGTCATCCCAGCACTTTGGGAGGCCAAGGTGGGCAGATCACCTGAGGTCAGGCGTTTGAGACCAGTCTGGCCAACATGGTGAAACCCTGTCTTTACTAAAAATACAAAAACTAGCTGGGCATGGTGATGGACACCTGTAATACCAGCTACTCAGAAGGCTGAGGTGGGAGAATCACTTAAACCCGGGAGGCGGAGGTTGCAGTGAGCCAGATGGCACCACTGCACTCCAGCCTGGGCGACAGAGTGAGACTTTGTCTCAGAAAAAAATTAAATTAAATTAAAAAATAAAATACCTAGACTGCTTTCTATTTCCTGCCCTGAACCACAGCAGAACAGAAGCAAAGAGATTTGGGAGACAAACAGACTAGACCCCAGCAGATGCTATTTGGACATGACAGTCCAACCTGGCTCTTCCTTCTGAGTTGTGGGCACATGGATTGCGTGGTGACCAAGGTGGAAAGGCTATCTTTGAGAATCAATGTTTATGTCTATTTCTATTTGAACTTCCAGGTTCAAGCCCCAAGTTAAATCACTTACTTCCCACCCTCCCCATTCTAACTCTTAATCAACCTCATCATTAATCATAGAAATACTAACTACAAGCCCTGGGCTCTGAAAATAAGTGCCAGGCAGCATTAAAAAGACCTGGACAGACTGCATGCTGGTCTAGCCATTGGGAAGCAAGTGCTCAAGACTAACCAGGTACTTTTGAGCCCTCAGAGTCTGCATCTTGGAGGAATGCCATTATTCATCACTTACTGAGGTTTTGAAATGTGCCATGGTTTACATAAAGTACTTTCACAATTTACAGAGGTGGCCTCAGAGGGCATCAATGGTGAAGGCACACTGCTATGTTTGATGGACCACCAAGAAACAAAACAGCTGCTCAGTAAAAACATGCTGAGATGCCATCGATTACAACACAAACTGCATAATTACTAAAATGTGAAAAAATATGTCTTAGAATCAATAATATACAGTAATTTATGGGGATAGCACATGGGAGACCGGGACTAGGACTCAGGTCTTCCACTTCCAGATCACTGATCCATTTCATCTCTGTTTTTATTGAGGGCTGATTTAAGCCTGGCACTTCTGGATATTTTTATTCACAAATGCCATGGATTCCACCCTGAAGATATCACCAATTTCCCACTACCAGCTCAGTCAAAATTATGTTCAAATTTCTTTTTCAGATCTCTACATTACTGCTTTAAAAACTGGAAATGGGGCTGGTCCCAGCTGCTTGGGAGGCTGACGTAGGAGGATCCTTTGAGCCCAGGAGTTCAATGATGCAGTGAGCCATGATCTCGCCACTGCTCTCCAGCCTGGGCAATAGAGCAAGACCCTATTTTAAAAAATAAAAATAAATTTTTAAAAGATTTATTTTTTTTAGAAAAGGAGATAGTCTAGTTGGGGGGTCAATGGGGGAACAAGTGGTAGAGGGGAGATGGGATTTCTATGGTGACCACTTAACCAAAGTATACCGTCAGCTGCCCAAAGGTAAACACAAATGTGCAAGTAGGGCTGGGCATGGTGACTCACACCTGTACTAGCACTTTAGGAGGCCAAGGAGGGGGGATCACTTAAGGTCAGGAGTTCGAAACTAGCCTGGTCAACATGGCAACACCCCGTCTCTACTAAAAATGCAAAAGTATCCAGGTGTGGTGGTGCATGCCTATAATCCCAGCTACTCAGGAGGCTGAGACAGGAGAATCACTTGGGCCCAGGAAACAGAGATTGCAGTGAGCCAAGATCACGACACTACACTCCAGCCTCGGCGACAGAGTGAGACGCCATCTCAAAAAAAAAAAAAAAAAATGCAAGTAGGAGACTTCATTTTCACCCTTGCTACATTGCTTCCACCTTTGTTCCTCACCTCCCTGCCCTAAGAGTCCTCTGCTCAAGCTTCTGCAGTGCTTCCCTCCCATCTACAGTTAAACCCAAGGCTCAAAACAATCGTCTGGCTCTGACTTGTCTCTCCCTGATGCGTTCTTGTTGGCTGCCTCCCTCCCTCTGCTCTGGGCACTCCAACCACCTTGCCATGCATGTTCTTGCCTCAGGGATCAGACTTGAACTTGTGTTGCTCTATGCCTGGAATGTGGCCAGCTCCTTCACTTCCTGCAGGTCCCTGCTCTCAGTGTCATCTTATCAATGACATTCCCTAATTACTTCTATATTAAATTGCAACCCCTGCCTCTCACATCACTCAACCATCTTCCCTGTTTTGTTTTTCTCTTAACACCATCTGATATACCATATAGGTCACTTCTGCATTTGTTTAAAGTCTGTCTAGCCCACTAGAATCTAAGTACCATGAAGGCAGAGATATATGTGTTACATCTCCAATGCCAAGAACAGTATCAGGCACAGAGTAGAAGAAAGGAAAAGAGAGACAGAGAGGGAGCTGGAGAGGAAGAGAACAAGTCCGCTTGTAAGTTTCAATCAATTACATTTGATCTAAGATGTATCAAATTACAAGTCCAGGAAAATTTAACTGACAGATCAGATTGTTCAATGATCTCATAGGAAGAACTGCCTCCTCTTTCATTGTTATAAAAGTGGTATCCCAAAAATTCAAAAGAAAAACTAAAAAGAAAATAAAATGAATCAGCAGAATGACTTCTGGTTTTTCTCAGTCTGAACTTAGAAGAGGCCTGCTGGCAATGACTTTCCTAAGAGCCTTTTTCACTTGAACTTCAGATTAAAGAGAGGTCCTTTTGGTGGGTTTAAGAAGGGAAAGGGTGGCGCCTTTGCTTAGGAGCCTTTGACTTCCTGTTTTGAAATGACTGTGCTGATAAAGCTATGAACAAAATGATTTTTCAACCAGACAAACACTAACAGCAGATACCTCTGCCGAAGGATGGATTCCCTCACCCCTCACCCCAGCGAAACCCCCAAACCACCCTTTCTATGGTGCCTGATCACCCCTTTTATTGCAGAAGGCAATGAAAATGAGGGCTATAACAATCAAAGGAGATGGCCTACGTCTGTCTCATCTGAGCACAGCCACGAAATGCTCCATCAAAGTGCAAACATTTAAATGACCAGGGAGAGACTTCATGCTAAAAAATGCCTTCTACTTCAGGTATTTTTTTCTTGTTAATTTTTGTAGGTAAAGACTAGTTATATATATTTATGGGGTACACTTCAGTGATTCATGCTGTTTTCAGAAATCATAGCAGTCTCATATTTGAGACCCTCTTGACACCTTTTCAAAGGAAGTTTCAGGTATATAACATAACAACAGCCCTTACAAACTGGTGTGACTCCAAGCTCATTCCACATATAAGCAAAAAGATTCTGTAATGTAACATTAAATCTGTGCAATCAGAGCAAAAAATAATACCAAACTGACATCTTACAAAAGGGTAGGATGGGAGGTGGAGACACATGCAAGTCTATACATTTAAAAGGTTATGGTTAAACTTTGTCTTTCCTTTAATCACTAGTTGTGATAATGATGTATTTGTCTACAATACTTATTATCAGCCAGGCATGTGGCTCACACCTGTAATCCCAGCACTTTGGGAGGCTGAGGCAGGTGGATCACGAGGTCAAGAGTTCGAGACCAGCCTGACCAACATGGTGAAACCCTGTCTGTACTTAAAAGTACAAAAATTAGCTGGGCGTGGTGGCGCACACCTGTAATCCCAGCTACTTGGGAGGCTGAGGCAGGAGAATTGCTTGAACCCAGGAAGCGGAGGTTGTGGTGAGCCGAGAGCGTGCCATTGCACTCCGGCCTGGGTGACAGAGCAAGGCTCTATCTCAAAAAAACAGAAAACTTAGTATCAAACTGGATACAAAAATGTATGCTGTTATCTCAACGATATATATATATATATATATATGCATTTTGTATAGTTGAGAAAAATATAGAATATATAAATATATGTAAATGTATTCTATAATATATATTTTTAAGTACCAGTTGCCTCTTGGTGGAATAATGATTGTTTTTCTTCTATACCTCCTAGATTTTCTTTCTTTTTTTTTTTTT